GAATCTGATGGTATCCGGACCGGAGATCTATCTTGGAATACACACAAGCACCCCTGAGATGATCCAACAGATCATCAATCCGAGGAAGGGGATACTTGTTCTTGATGGTCACCTTGTTCAACTGCCTGTAGTCGGTGCACAATCGCATTGTCCCATCCTTCTTCTTCACGAAGATGACCGGTGCTCCCCAAGGAGACACACTCGGTCTAATGAAATCTTTTGCTGAAAGATCCTAAATATGCTTCTTAAGCTCAGCCAACTCCGGTGGCGACATCCGATAAGGAGCTAAAGCAATCGGCCCCACACCGGGCAACAAGTCAATGGAGAACTCTATCTCCCGCTGTGGCGGAAACTCAGGGATCTCCTCAGGAAACACCTCAAGGAACTCCCCCACCACAGGAATGCCAGTGATATCCTCCTGTGTCCCACTCCCCAAACCACCCAACATGACATAACCCAATGCCCCTGCTCGCAACGCTCTCCTGGCCTGCAGCAGTGAAATGTATGGCGAGGAACTAGCTGTGGAATCACACGGAGACATCACCACTCGCTTTGCACAACAATCAATCAAAGCACAGTTTCTAGACAACCAATCCATGCCCAGAATAATCTCAAGGTTGGCCATCGGCAACCCTATCAGATCTACCGAGAACTCACGCCCATCCCACTAAAACGCTACATCGCGATGTACAGTGGTAAAATCACAAATCTCTCCGGTGGCGGTAGTCACCCGCAACGGTGGAGAAAGCACAACACTGGGCAACTCAAGCCCCAAAGCAATCGGGGGTGGCAATAAACGAATGAGTAGCCCCGAAATCAAAGATAGCATCCACAAAAGAATCACCAATAGACACAGTACCTCTGACAAGGTTCGGAGCGCGGTCCGACTGCTGCCTTTCCAGTGTATACACTCTCCCAACAGAAGGTGGCACTGCAGGTGCCGAAGAAGATGCCATCGGAACCATCTGCAAAGGAACTGCCTGAACAGCTGCAGCTCTCGCCATCGACGACGGACAATCTCTAGAGAAGTGGCCCTCCTTGCCACACTTGAAGCACAACAACTGCCCCGTAGCACAGCGTCCCACATGCTCCTTCCCACATCCCGAACATCTCGGAGTGGTAGGAGGCCTGGCAGAACTCCCCTGATGTGAAACAGCTCTCTTAAACTGACCAGTCGCCTGCCTAGTCGCAAACTGCTTTCCCTTGCTCTTATCAGCAAACCTCCTGTCCTTCCAAGAAGTAGGAGCAGGAGTGGAACCACCTGTTCCCTTGCTCTCCTCAACCTTGGCCCTCTTGGCCTTGCTTGCCACGCAAACATCCTCGATGTCCTTACACTGCTGAACCAGTGTACCAAAGTCCCTCGAAGCAGCACCAGCAAGATGCTCAGCAATCACCTCACTAAGTCCCCTGCGGAACTTAGCTGCCAGAAACAACGGAGTAGGAGGAACCATCCAGAAGTGTGCAAACTTCACTAGCTCATTAAACTTAGCCAGGTACTCATCAACAGACATCGAGCCCTGCACCAAACGATCAAACTCTCCATGCTTCCTCTCCTGCGCATCATAGGGAAAGTATCGGCCCATAAAGCACTCCTCAAAGAATGGCCACGTCATGACACGGCCTTGCCTCTCAAAAGCACGAGAGGTGTGCGTCCACCACTCATGGGCATCGCCCTCCAGCATGTAAGTCGAGAACATCAGCTTCTGTGGGTCTGTACACTGCATAACCCGAAAGATCTTGTCCAGCGACTCTAGCCATCTCGCAGCAGCAATAGGATCCAAAGACCCCTCAAACACAGGTGGCTTATGCTTCCTGAAAGCATTCAGCCGGCGATCAATCACATCACGATCCTCAGCAATCCCCACAAGGGGCTCCCCCGTCTCAGCGGCATGAGTAGCACTGCCGATGTGACTATGGCTCTCCTCCTAAACACTAGGTGGAGGCGGTGGCGGTGGTGGTAGAGCCTGGCCAATAGCAGGACCAGCTCTCATCTCCTCCAACATGACTCTCATCATCGTCATGTTCGCCATCCTGTTCGCCTCGAGGACTTCCTCAGTGGTCCTCCGGTTCGCTTCACGAACCTCAGCTGCGGCTATCCGGTTCGCCTCGCGAACAGCTTCCATCATTGCCATGTTGGCCAATCTAGTGGCCTCCTGATCGGCTAACCTAGCCGCCTGCATCTCAGCCAATGCAGTCAGGATAGGATCAGATTGATCCTCAGAAGTCTCCCGTGTTCTCCCAGACCTTACCATGACTCTGCACAAGTTACACAAATTATGAGTTGATCAGGCCCACGCAATGTGATCACATATGCATTATCATAATAAAATTCGACGGAGTAAACACACAAGACAGACACAACAAAACATCCTAGCTATTGCAATACATACAGGCTTTTCCCTCGAACCATTGCTCTGATACCATAAATGTAACACCCCGTATATATCCGGTAATGTTATCATAATATCGTATTAAGCTGCGCTTAATTAAAATGCGGAATTACTTTTTTTTCTTTTCAATTATGATGCCATTAACATTACCATCTTGCTTAATAATCAATTAATAAAATATCGCCTGTATGTAATTGCAATAAAACAGCTAACTGGAATATCTCGTACTCATAGATAATAAAAGTGTGGCTCTAGTCACGGAACTACAACAACGTAGACCGGACCATCTAACAGTTTATACAACTCCAAATCAAAAGTACAAACATAAAGTGTCATGGACAATCCCCATGCTCACTCAAATATGGCAACACGCCCAACATCAGTCTCAACAACAACATATCATAAATAGCGGAAAACATAAACAGCATCCCAAATCCAGTCATGCTAACATAAAGCAGTAAAACATAATCAGCTAAGCTTCGGCCTCCTGCCGCCCGAGGCATCAGTACCCATACTACCTGATCCTGAAATAAGCATTCCCCAAACGTGGGGTAAGATCTCTAATCTAGAAATCTCAGTAAGTCAGTGAGTCCTAAAGGATCTTCCACCCCAAGCTCACTTACATGTGCAATATAAGTTCAAAAGCAATTTATCATTTATCATTTCTAAAACAATGCAATGCAGCAGTTAATCATGCCATGTGTGTGAATTCTAATCTACTGGCCAGAGACAGTGCAGGTATACGTCTATCACCTACACACCGTGCAAGTACCACTTGCATTCACCCCGGTACACCGTCTTGTATGGCGCTACATACTCAGGCTTCCCGTCAAGATGAAACAACACATGCATATTAAAAGCCATTACATGTAAAGTTCAATCAACATATCAAATATCCAAAAGCATGTACACAGCATGCATAAACCATACCCCCATGGGACATGGTGGAACCACAACATGGCTAAACCGAGGACACGAAAGCTTACCTTGCAAGCTAACTCCAAAATCCAAGAGTCCACAGCTCAAAGTCAAAACACGGCAGATTCACGATCTGTTATGGACCAATACTATATTAATAATAATGCAACACAAGCATATAACTTAAAGACAACGCCTCTCCTTACGTTTTACGTCTTAGGGCTCCATACCAAGCCATAAGTTCTTAAACACAACGATTATGACTTAGTTCGTTAATTACAGAAGTTCAACTTCATCAAACTAGGGTCCATAAACCCCCAATAGCCTACTGTACACACAGCACAACTACTGTTCCACGAAATCCCAGAATATCCGGATATTCCGCGGGACCATATCTAGATATGCAATATCCGGATATCTAACTGGACATATCCGGATATGCAATATCCGGATATCCATAATCCCATATCCGGATATCACATATCCGGATATTCCTCGGGCACATATCCGGATATTTCACGACAGAATGCAGAAAATGCATTTCGTGAAGATATCCTTCCAAGGTTGGGTTTTAACGATTTAAAGTACCTAAACATGCATTTCTAGGTGTGTTCAACATTACCCAACAACAAGTTATCATCTTTAGGGAAGAAGGCATACCTTGAATGTCTTGTGTGAATAAAGAAGGAGTAAAGGACAATGGATGATGATCGTAGGGAAGAAGAGCAACGATTCCCGGTGGTGGCTGTTATATGTTTGATGATTTGGGTCTTGGGTGTGTGAGTTCTTGAGGAAAATGACAATGGTTGAGAGAGAAGAGGGTTTTAGAGAAGGAGAGGTTTTGTAAAGATTTGAAGTGTAAAAAGGGGGAAGAAGAATAAGGCTTTTTAAAAATCTGATTTGATAGGTCGTGCTTAAACGCAGTGATGGGTTCTTAAGCGCGGAGGGGCTGAGGCTAAAGGCTGGTTTTTGTCTTCAGCGCGCTTAAGCCTCCTTCTGGGGGCTTCAGCGCGCTCCTCGATGGAAATTTTCTTGGTGTTCAACACGCTTAAGCGTCCCATATGGGGCTTAAGCGCGCAGGAGCAGTGACAATCCTTATCTTTATGTGTTTTGCACGCTTAAGCTTCCCTTTGGGGGCTTAAGTGCGCTCTGCGATTGGAATTTGTTGGCTGTGGATCGCGCTTAAGCCTCCTTCCGCGCGCTTAGGCAGAGGAAAATGGTGTTTTTCTTCAATTAGCGTGGTTAAGCCTCCATTTGAGGGCTTAAGCGCGCCCTGGGATTGGAATTTTAGGCTCGAAGAGCGCACTTAAGCGCTATCCTGCGCGTATAAGCGCGCTAAGGCCGAGAGGAATTATGAATTATGAGGCTTAAGCCTCCCCTTGGGGTTTAAACCCTCTATACTTAGAAAAATTCCTTACACATAACACATGTAATTGTAATAAAAATCATGTACCTGAGCATGCTTTATTCCCACTTAGACCTGCATTTTCATCTCAACAAAAATTGATCATCCACCTCAATGTTTTTATTTTTCTATGACTAAGAACTAAATTTTAAACTTACCTAAACTAAAAACTGAAATTGAAACTAAACTAATCAATTTAAAATTCTGAATTTAAAATACTGAAAGCTTAATTACTGGGTTGCCTCCCATAAGCGCTTGTTTTACGTCACGAGCTTGACGTACCTCTTTTACGTTTCTGCAAGAGCAACGGTGGTCGTTCCTCTGTCAATTTCTCCTCCAAGGTATGGTTTCAATCGCTGCCCATTCACCTTGAAGCTTCTGTCAGAATCAAGTGGACTAATTTCCACTGTACCATAAGGACGTATTTCTTTCACCAGAAACGGTCCTGACCATCTAGACTTGAGCTTTCCCGGAAAGAGTCTCAACCGGGAATTAAACAGCAGAACTTGTTGTCCAACTTTGAAGTCTCTGCCTAATATTTTTCTGTCATGCCACTTCTTGGTTTTCTCTTTGTAGAGGCTGGCACTTTCATAAGCTGACAATCTGAATTTGTCTAACTCATCCAGTTGTAACAACCTCTTTTCACTTGCCGCTTTTGTATCAAAATTTAAGAATTTGACAGCCCACAAAGCCTTGTGTTCCATCTCCACCGGTAGGTGACATGCTTTTCCGAACAACATTTGAAACAGTGACATTCCTATCGGTGTCTTGAACGCTGTCTGGTATGCTCATAATGCATCATCTAGCTTGCGAGCCCAATCTTTCCGGGAGCTTCCCACTGTTTTCTCAAGGATACGCTTCAGTTCCCGGTTTGATATCTTCACTTGTCCACTGGTTTGTGGATGATATGGTGTGGCAATGCGGTGTCTGACGCTGTATTTTGCGAGCACATACTCAACTTGTCTGTTGCAGAAATGTGTGCCTCCATCACTGATCATTGCTCTTGGTACTCCATACCTCACGAAAATGTTCTTCTTGATGAAGTTGACTACGACCCTAGAATCATTGGTAGGCAAAGCAACTGCTTCCACCCATTTAGAGACGTAATCCATCGCCACCAATATATATTTATTTCCGTATGAAGTGGGGAAAGGCCCCATGAAGTCAATGCCCCAAACGTCAAAGATTTCAACTTCCATGATATTGTTCAGTGGCATTTCATGTCTTTTTGATATGTTCCTCGTTCTTTGGCAACAATCACAAGATTCCATGAATTTTCTGGCATCTTTATATAAAGTGGGCCAATAGAACCCACTCATAAGAACTTTTACAGTCGTCCTTTCTCCCGCGAAGTGGCCTCCGTAGTCTGAACCGTGACAGTGCCATAGAACATCTTTCATCTCTTCTTCCAGGATGCATCTTCTAATGACTCCAACAGAACATGTGTAGAATAAGAATGGTTCTTCCCACAAGTATCTTTTCACATCACGCAGAAACTTTTTCCGTTGTTGCCATGAAAACTCCTTAGGAATTGTCCCAGCCGCTTTGAAATTTGCAAAGTCTGCAAACCATGGTGGAGTGTCCACTGCAAGAGCTTGCTCATTCAAAAACCATGGCAGTGTGCTGACTGAGAGGACTTGTTCATCTGGAAACTCATCTCTGATTATCAATTATGAACTATCTTGAAGTTCTTCCTCTTGAAGTCTAGAGAGATGATCAGCTACCCGGTTCCCTACTCCCTTTTTGTCTCTGATTTCTATCTCAAATTCTTGAAGTAGAAGCATCCACCTAAGTAGTCTTGGCTTAGCATCCTGTTTAGTCAATAAGTATTTCAAGGCAGCATGATCAGTATACACAATAACTTTAGATCCTAGCAAATAGGTTCTAAATTTATCAAAAGCATATATAACTACTAGCAATTCTTTTTCAGTAGTAGTGTAATTCATTTGTGCTTCATTCAGAATCTTACTAGCATAATATATAACATGCAATAGTTTATCTTTTCTTTGACCTAAAACTGCACCTATAGCATAATCACTAGCATCACACATCAATTCAAAAGGTAATTCAAAATTAGGTGAAGTGATAATAGGTGCGGTAGTCAATTTTTCTTTCAAGAGATTAAAAGAAATCAAAAAATTATTGTCAAAGTTGAACTCTTCTTCTTTGGCCAATAATTTGCAGAGTGGCTTGGCTATCTTTGAGAAATCTCTGATGAAGCGCCGATAGAAACCTGCATGTCCAAGAAAACTACGTACACTACGCACATTAGAAGGAGGGGGAAGTTTTTCTATAAGTGAGATCTTTGCTCTATCAACTTCAATCCCCTTCTCAGAGATCTTATGGCCTAAGACTATTCCATCTCTTACCATAAAGTGGCATTTTTCCCAGTTGAGTACTAAATTACTCTCTTGGCATCTCTGCAAAACACAAGCAAAGTTAGTTAAGAAAACATCAAAAGATGAACCGAAGACAGAAAAATCATCCATAAATATTTCAATAAAATTTTCAATCATATCAGAGAATATGGATAGCATACACCTTTGAAAAGTGGCAGGTGCATTGCACAACCCAAAAGGCATACGTCTGTAAGCAAACACACCATAAGGACAGGTGAAAGTTGTCTTCTCTGATCTTCCAGAGCAACTACTATCTGATTATGTCTCCTGTAGTCGACGCACATTCTCCAGCCGATAATAGTCCTTGTAGGAATCAATTCATTGTTTTCATTACGTACCACTGTAATCCCTCCTTTCTTTGGAACTGTTTGTACCGGACTCACCCATGCACTGTCAGAAATTGGATAGATCATACCAGCATCCAAGAGCTTCACGACTTCTTTTCTCACAACTTCTTTCATAGTTTGATTCAATCTTCTCTGAGGTTGTCTGACTGGTTTCACATCATTCTCCATCAATATTTTATGAGTGCAAAAAGATGGGTTTATTCCTTTCAAGTCTGTAATAGACGATCCTATAGCTGTTCTGTGCTCTCTCAACACTTTCAATAATTTTTCTTCTTCGACAGTTGACAAATTTATATTGATGATCACCGAGTATGTCTTTCTTTCTCCAAGAAATGCATATTTCAAAGTAGGAGGAAGCTCTTTCAATTCAACCTTTGGAGCTCCTTTAGTAACATCATCAACCTTCTTTTCTAGCTTTTCAACCTCTTGTTCTCCTTCTGTTGCTTCAGTTGCATTTTTCAGTAGATCTTCTTCTAATGACTCCAATTCCATCAGTGGTTGGAGTATTTCATCGATAGTATCTAACACTGCATCATTGATTACATCAACCTTGAAGCAATCTCCTCCGTCGGAAGGATGTTTCATAGATTCAAGAACATCAATCGTTACGGTCTCATCATTAACCCGTAACATCAACTTGCCTTGCTCTACATCAATCATAGCCCTTGCAGTGGCTAAGAAGGGTCTTCCCAAAAGTAAGGGAATTTCAGCATCCTCTTCTATGTCTAAGATGACGAAATCCGCAGGGAAAATAAATTTATCAATCTTTACCAATACATCTTCAATGACTCCATCTGGCCTCCTGGTAGATCTGTCAGCTAACTGTAGTGAAACTTTAGTCGGCTTCAATTCATGAATTCCCAGAGCCTTGCAGATGGATAGTGGCATAAGATTAATACTAGCTCCCAAGTCACATAGTGCCTTTCCCACATCAATGTTGCCAATTTCTATGGGAATGCTAAAACTTCCAGGATCTTGGAGTTTCAGAGGTAACTTCTTCTGAATTATAGCACTGCATTCTTCTGTCAAAGTCACTGTCTCACATTCTTTCAGTTTACGCTTTCTTGATAAGAGATCTTTCATAAACTTTGCGTAATTTGGCATACTCTCCAAGGCTTCAGCAAATGGAATATTGATTTGCAACTTCTTGAAAATGTCAAGAAACTTGGAATACTGCTGCTTTTTGATTTCCTCTCTGAACCTCTGCGGATATGGAATCTTTGCATAAGGTGAGAGTTCCAATGGCTTTTCTTGTCTTTCCTGAGCTTTCTTTTTCTCCCATTTGAACTCTTTCTTTTCATGAACTGTTTTCCGTGCAACGGATTCTTTCTCAACTTCTTTCTCTTTTTCTTTTTCAATTGCAGGTTCTTCAACTTTCTTTTTCTCAACTGAAGGCTTGATCACAGGTTTAATTACTATCCTACTTCTAGTGGTAATGGCCTTATAGTGCGCATTTGGGTTAGTGTCTGTATTACCCAGAAGAGTTCCTGGAACTCTTTCAGAAATTTTCCTGGATAATTGCCCGATCTGAGTTTCAAGATTTCTGATTGATGCTTCTTGATTTCTCATTGCAGTTCGGGTTTCTTGCATAAAGGAAGTTGTCTCATTCCCGAAAGTCTCTAAACCTTGGATGTAGTCATTAGTTGTTCTTGAGAGTTGTGTCAAGGCTTTCTCCAGCTTAGAAGGATTACTTTGTGAAGGTTGTGACTGTTGTGGAATAGATGGGTTGAGTTGGTGCTGAGTTGACTTATAATTGAACCCAGGGTGATTTTTCCACCTTGGATTATAAGTATCACCATATGGACTGCTTTGATTTTTCTGGAAGTTTCCTGAATTCCTCTGATCATTCCAGATCCCATTCACTGATGCTGCTTCATTTCCTCCAAGAGCTCCACAATTGGTGTTCTCATGCTCTCCACCACAAAAGTCACAAACTAGTGGAGTTGGCTGTGTTTGGACTGCTGATGCTTGAAACTTTTCAAACATTGATGTGAGGGATGTCAATTGTTGAGACATTGCCTTCTGTGCAGCCAACATAGCATCATTGTTTTCCAGCTGATATATCCCTTTTCTTTGGCTGTGTCGGAACACTTTCATTCTCTAGAGAAGCCATAGATTCAAATAGCTCCAATGCTTGAGTGGGAGTTTTCTGTCTCAATGACCCTCCTGCTGCGACATTAATGACCATTTTGGAAGCAGGTGTTATTCCATTGAAGAATATCCGTACCTTTGGTCCAGGTTGCTCTTCATACTGAGGACATCTTCTTTGCATATCTTTAAATCGTCTCCATGCAGTACAAAGAGACTCCCCTTCCTGTTGGGTGAAATTTGAAATTTCATTGACCAACTGATTATATTTGGTCATGGGGAAGAAGTTAGCCAAGAATTTGGCGGCTAAGTCATCCCATGAAGCAATGCTTCCAGTAGGTTGTTGATGAAGCCACTTAAGAGCTTGATCTTTCAAAGAAAATTGAAACAATCTCAGATGGACGACATCATCTGCTACCCCGTTCATCTTCACTGTGTCACATATCAACAAGAACTTATCAAGATGAATATGAGGGTCTTCTTCGTCACCACCAGCAAATTGATTTTGATGAACTACAGAGAGTAGAGCTGGCTTAATCTCAAAGTCGTTCGCAGCAACATTTGGTCTGATGATGCATGAGGTATTTCTTGGCACGCTCGGAGTGAGGAATACATCCATCAACTCTTCTAGCGGACTGTTGTTGTTGTTGTTATTCTCTGCCATTGTTTCTTCCTCTCTTATCACAAAGCTTGATGCTTCTTTTTCTTATTGTCTTCTTTCTTTGGCTAACTTTCTGTTTCTTTTTGCTGTTTTCTCTATCTCTAGGTCGAATTGCAAGGAATCGGTGTCAACGGTATCTCGCATAAACCAGAAAACAGATTATATAAAAAAATAAAAATAAAACTGAATTTAAATAACAGAAAATAAGGTCCAATCTCAAGAATTAATAGCTACTATTAATGTTGAAATAGTAATCCCCGGCAACGGCGCCAAAAACTTGTTGCTACTTACGGCAAGTGCACCGATCTTACAAGTAATATAATGATTAAGTAAGAGATCGTTCCCACGAGGATTACGGTTCAAGCACCAATTCACTATCGCAACTTAAGTTGGACAATCAAAGTTGTATTTGGAAACAGGATTTGAATTGCAAAATTAAAATATTAAATATTAAAGCTAATTACTCACAAGAATTAAAGACAAGAAATTAAATATTTAAATAAGTTGATAACAAAAAAACGTAGCTAGGGGTTCGATTTCCTTTAATCTCTTTATTACGTTTGAATTCCTTCTTAATGTTAACCGTCCTTAATATCAATCTAATCGATTCTTTCTTATATAATTAGAGCTCAATTCCTTGTTACCCTAAACCTTCACGATCTTCGAAGAACCCTAGTTCCCCGGTTATTCCCCAAGAACATGAGCATTAAGTTCAAGAATCTTAAAGATTACACAAACCCTATGTCTATCCCTAGAATCATAACGTTTACGATGAAGTTATCAGATATGGATCACACACCAACATCCCTATTGTCATGCATTTACCGATGATCATTATATAAGATTCAAGCCTATATAAAGCATTAAAAACAGATAACTTCATTCATGATATAAAGGACAATTAACAGAAGAATTGTTCAAAGCATAATAAATCGACTAAAATCCATCTAACCATAACTACTTAAAGAACTAGCCAGACATAGAAAAATCAAGAACAAAGACAATTTAAAAGCTCCCCCAAACTCCATAGGTGATTGGTAGATCTTCAATATCTCCAGTGAACACTTGACGTTGATCCGTCTTCGCCGCTCACGATCATGAACCTGATGTTTCTCCGCGTTCCCTCCGCCTCTAAGCACCAAGAATTGTTTTGCAATGTAAAAGTTATGTAATTCTGGTCCCCAATGGTCTTTTTATTGGCCAAGAGTTCGTATTCTAATTGAACACCTTGAATGGGCCTAAGTTGGACCTGTCGGGGCGCTTAAGCTTGCTTCACCGCGCTTAAGCACCCTAGGACAGTGATTGCAGATTCGCGTTGCACGCTTAAGCGCGCTCCCACAAGTTACACAATAAATTCTTAAGATTCCTAAGAAAGCAGGAAACCTATATTCAAATCCTAGCATAAACTAAATGCATGAAACACCTAATAAAAATATGGACATTTGCCAAAACTTTTGAGAGTTTGTACACTTCTTTTTATATATGAATAAATAAATAAAAATAATCTAGGGGTGTTCAATTTCAACTAATATACACGCATTGTGGATTCATATCTTGAATCAACAAATATTTGGATTATCCAATGAGTGTAGCTTAGTTGGCAACACATGCTAAGTAGGTGAGAAGAGAACTGATTCCTACCAAATACATATTTAGGGAGGGGTGAGGATATTTAACTATGACCAAGCACCGACTCGGGATTAGTCTTATAGCCGACTCAAAGTGTTGAAACTTGTGGGATACCCGGGGGCCAACTCACCTCAAAGAGATAATTAAAGTCGGTATAAAAAAATAAATATTTCAATTTTTTTGAATCAACGCTAGGAAATTCACCTATCAAGCAAGACTATGTGTGTTAAGTCTAGTATATATAATCGAGTAAAGCCCCTTTTGGATCCCTAACAAAAAACACGATCCTCACTTTCGTCCCTTACAAAAAAAATTAACTTTTGGTCCCTCTACAATTCCAGTTCTTTGAAAATGTGGTCTCTTAGAAATTCAATGAAGAACCAAATTAGTCCCTAAAAAATGACTAATATGAAGCTTTTTTAAAGGGACGAAAGTGGGGACCTAATTTTTTGTTAGGGACCCAAAATGGACTTTACTCTATATAATCTAAAACAAATAAAATCAAGAGTAAAGTCCCTATTGGGTCCCTAACAAAAAACACGGTCTCCGCTTTCGTCCCTTATATAAAAAAAATCAATGTTTGATCCCTCTACAATTCCAGTTCTTTGAAAATGTGGTCCCTCAGAAATTCAATGAAGACCCAATTTAATCCCTAAAAAAGGACAAATATGAGTATTTTTTGTAAGGGAAGAAAATGGGTACTTTAATTTTTGTTAGGGACCCAAAATGGGCTAACAAATAAATTCAATGACGATGACTAAAACATATAATCTCATATAAATAAAATAAGAAAATATAATGAAGATTAATTAAATGAATCAATAACGAATTAACAAAATGAAGTATTTAATCTTGTTTTCTTCGGGTCTTGATTACAAATCATGTCTAATATTTGTCCATGTTTCACCAGAGTGTTGACTACCTTTAGGCTGGCAAAAAATTTAATTTAACATTTTTTAATAAAATAATTATGCATTTATTACATTTTTAAAAAAAAATACAGATGTATTGCACAATGTCACGCCCTTATTGGGCATCACATGTCACGTCCAAAGAGGGCGTCACGTCCTGGTGGGTGTAAGAACCCGCACCGTTAAAATAGAAATTTAATTAATTTAATTATGAGTTAAGAGACAAATTCCATAATTAACTTTGAATAATTATGAGAGAGCTTAAATAATTATAATAAGTGACTAATAATGCTGAAAGTCGCTTTTCTGACGAAAAGTGCAGATACCGGTTCTGCCTCACAATATAAGTGCGTATCGATGAAGTATCCCAGAAAATTATGAAAAGTATGTATATAGCACTAGAATAATATCTAGGACTAGTATAACAAGTTTGGAGTCAAAATAATGAGAACGGGCATCAGAACTGATACCTACTACGTAAAAGAGACCTACAAAGTACTGCGAAAAATATAATAAAAATATGACAAATCCTAGAAAAATGGCTAGGTTCAGAATCCAAAGTTTAGGATTAAAATGATAAGCGTAGCTATTAGTGTTCATACAGTGTGATTAAACTTGAATGGGCTATAAATTGTAAATGGGCTCAAAACCCTAGGCAAAAATTTGAGTTACGTGAGTACCTTGGCTGCTGCCACCTTCTCCTCATTCTGAAAACTTGAGTTTTCCTCCATTGTTGCACCAAACTTCTACCTTTCCTTTTGATCCTTCTCATCAAAATTTGTAAACACTTAGTATTTGGCCTTGTGGAAGTGAGAGGCTCTTGTGAGGGGTGGCTAGGGGGCTGAGTTCTTGAGTTGGGTTATGGGGGGTCTTTATCTTGGCATTTGATGGTGCAAGAAGCCATTCTTGTTGATAAAAGACCAACCTTGATGCTCATTTTCGTGCTCCTTGAAGTCAGAACCATGGGAGCTGCATAGAGAGCTCCAAGAGCATTCGTTTTTCTGTTTTGAGTTTTTTGGTATGCATCACCACCCTTGTTCTTGAGTTTTCTTTGGAAAGAATGAACATTGATGCATGGAACAAGCTAAAGTTAATAACTTAAGGGTGGGTAAGGTTAAACACAACTACAAATGCAGGTATGAGCTTCTAGAAACGTTAAAAGAGTAACCTTGGAAGTGATTGTTGCGTAAAATCGGCAAGTGCACCTATCGTACCAAGTAATAAAAGGGTAAGTAGAGATCGTCTCCACGAGGATTGAGGCACCTAAATTATTTTAACTATTCCTTTCTTGTTGGATGAATAAAATTGATTTGAGAGTAATTGTGTTTGTAAAAATTGAGAATAATTCAAAACTTGTGAAAAATTCAAGGATACTTTTGAAAACTTGAGAATAACAAATTAAGATTGAGAAAATATGTAAAAGAATATTGCGGTAAAAGACACCAACACCTATCTGATCCCCACCTTGTAATATTAATTAGTGTTTACATTTAATTACCCATTGATCAAACAATTCACCATCTATCAATTGATTGGTTAAGCCCTAATTCCTTAGTAATCTTAACTTTATTAACCCTATTAGAATCCTAATCCCTTAGAAATCCTTTTTCAAGTTTATCCTTTAAACCAGTGAATTTTCCACGTTTGCAATTCATGTAACCTATCCCTAGTGTATACATGAATTGTTATTTTACCCTCTGTCAGGAACTAGGATTTCAATATTCCTATTGAAAACCCTAACCCTCGCA